TCCTATTAATCACACCATGAACCATTTCTTACATTTGAACNGTGCCTTCCACNCTTTTTCAGTGCCCCCCTCACACCACTACATCTCTTATGCACCCATTTCTGACATCCTATACACAATACTGAGTTAGCCTTCACTCTCCTATCACATACCCCACAGGGGTCTATTTTACTTATCACTCGCTCCCCACCTTCCCCACTCACCATTACCTTCGTCTTACCAATATTAACTTTTAACCCTTTCTTTTCAATAACACTTTTCCATCTGTCAAATTTTAACTGCAATTCTTCCATGCTATCAGCCATCAAGACTAAATCATCTGCATACAAAATCTCAAATAACAACCCCTCCATTATGTTTCCACACACAACATCCATCACAATTGCAAACAGAAACGGTGATAACACTGATCCTTGATGCACTCCTACCTTAACACTAAAAGCGTCCGACAATCCCCCTTCCAACCCTCACCTTTGTCTTTGCTCCTTCATACAGCTTTAGCATCACAGCTTTAACAAGTCTCTCATTCACTCCTTTCTTCCTCAACGCCCATTCAATGACCTTCCTTGGTACTCGATCAAAAGCCTTTTCTAGATCCACAAAACACATGTACAATCTTCGTTTCTTCTTTAATCTTCGTTTCTTCTTTCTATAATTCTCCTGCAACATTCTCACCATGAACAACGCATCCACCGTTCCCCTACCAGGCATAAACCCACACTGCATTTCATTAACTGTCACCATACTTCTCAACCTCCTCTCAAGCACCCTCTCCCCTACCTTCATTCCGTGCTCTAGTAATTTCACACCCCTGTATGACCCACAATCTCTCACATCTCCTTTGCCCTTATACAACGGCACCAACACACTGTGTCGCCAATCCTCAGGTATACCTTCATCATCAAACATACTGTTAGCAATTCTCATCATAACTTCAATTCCTATCACCCCACTCGCTTTAATATGTTCTGCCGCCACTTCCGAAACCCCTGTCGCCTTACCTAGTTTCATTTCTCTAACTGCTTTCTCTACTTCCTCCATCGTCACCTTCTCTATAGGTCCGTGTGTGACCGTGGATTCCACATCTCCATCCCACTCATTCTCTTCATTCATCAACCTTTCCATATGAGCTTTCCACACCTGAGCTTTTTCCTCCTCATCTATGCACAACTTGCCAGATCCATCCCAAACACATCCATTCCCTATAACATCTTTCCTATCCCTCATTGACTGCTTTGCTACTTTGAACATTTTCCTCGAACTCACATCAAATTCCATTTCCTTCATTAACCTATCTGGTGCTTTCGTCATTGCAGTTGCCACTGCCTGTTTTGCAACCTTCTTAGCCTTCCTATACTCAGACTCCGCTTCCTCTGTCATGTCCCTTCTCCATACCCTAAACCTCTCCTTTTTGACTTTCAAAACCCTTCTTATATCTTCATCCCACCACCACGTCTCACCATGCCTACACTTTCCTTTCGTCCATCCACATACTTTATCTGCCGTAGCCAACACACAGTCCCTGTATCTCTCCCAAACATCTCCATCCTTACCACTCTCCCAATTTTCAGCCACCTTCACTTCAAATGCCTTCCTCACCTCTGCATCCTGCAACTTCCATGTCTTTCTCTTTGCCACAAACTTATCCTTCTTCCTCCTCTCCATTTCTTTTGATGTCACATCCATCACAACCATACTATGCTGCAACATACCAGGTATCGCCTTCACATTCTTCACATACTTCCTATGTTTGGCCCTTACCAATATATAGTCTATCATCGATCTATGTTCCCCTGACCTATAAGTAATCAATCGCGCTGGTTCCCTTGTGAACCAAGTATTCCTGACCACCATGCTATGTGCATCCGCTAACTCCAACACTCTACGCCCTTCCTCATTCCGTATACCATATCCCCATCCCCCATGTACGTTATCCCCATCCCTTCATATCTGTCTGCATCCGCCCCCACATGACCATTCAAATCACCCAACAACACCACAAACTCATTCAACCCCGCTTGCCCGATCTCGTCAGAAACATCATCATAAAACCTATCCTTCTCCTCTTCCTTCCTACTTTGTTGCGGAGCATATCCTGATATCACCCTCACTATTACTTTTCCAAACACCATCACCACCACAATTACCCCATTGCTTCTCCGCCTCACTTCCAACACCTTCTCCACCAACTCTTCTCTTACCATCACACCAACTCCTCCCGTACCATCATCCTCCTTCCACCACAACTTATATCTTCCACCTTTAGCCCCCACAAACCTTGTACCCTCACCCTTCCATCTGATCTCCTGTAATGCAGCCACGTCAACCATTCTCCTCTGCAGCTCCTCCACCACTTCCAAAGTTCTTCCTGTCAACGTGCCTACATTCCAGGTACCAAACCTCCAACCCCTTGGTCTACAAGTAGTCCTTCCATCTATAGTGCCTTGCACCGCCACACTATAGAGTGGGGTGCCAGTAGCCAGACCATCCACAGGGCCTTGCACCACAACCCCATGGACTGGGTCTCCGGAGATTCTTCGCACCCTCTTCTGCCGGATACTGAGGGCCATTGTTTTTTCCGTCATCATAAGTATTATTATTTGGCTAGTTTTTACACAGGACGCCCTTCCTTACGCAACCACAGTTATAAGCGGTGGGCCTAGCCTTTGATGATCCAACATCACTCACAAGGCAGTGAGGGTCAGTTTAATGTCATAACCAGGACTCAATGCTTAAAAAAAAAAAAAAAAAAATGTAAAAAGTACCCAATTGAAAACTTCAGTGTGATGAAATTTTTTTCGAAATTTGAAAATCATTTTTGTATATGATACTACCGATACTACAGTACTGATAGACAATAAACTGATACTGATGAACGAACCACAAAACATTTTCAGAGATCTGACACAGATCTGCAACGACGACGTGCTGGGTCCGATGCCTCTAGGCTGGGAGAAGAGAATGACATCAACTGGTCGGCCCTATTTCGTAGACCACACAAGGAGGACCACCCAATTCACCGACCCTCGACTCCCCGCCAACCTGTCAATCATTCAACAGAGATTGTACGTTTATTAAGTGTTGGGTTGGGATGTAATGCTGGATTTACAGATGTGTTTTGTTCTATTTTTTTATTATTTTTTTTTTTTTTGAATTTTTTTTGTATTTGGTGTTTTGTTAGTATAAATAGATGAAAGCCTGAAAAAAATATTAATAAAATGACAAAAATTAGCTAATATTATCAGCAAATATGGTAATTTCTACAATCTGATGAAAATAATTCAGGCTTAACTATTTTCTTCACTAAGCAAACATGATTTTTAAGTATAACAACACTAGCAATAATTACAAAGTTAATTATCCTTATCATCTGATCGTGGCCACAACTACAGACGAGACCACAGCATACCTGCCACTATCAATGAAACCATGACCACAACAACGACCACGACGACAACAACTACAACATCTCCTACTCTACCAACTATCGTTTGCGACAACAATCTTCCTATAACCATCGACCAATCACCGAGCAGTCCATGTGATCAGACTCCGCCCCCATCCATCGATCTGCGATGTGATTCGCCGCTACCGAAGTACAAGAGGGACTTGGTGCAGAAGTTGAAGATGTTGAGGCAGGAACTGCACGCCCTCCAACCACAGGCCAGTCACTGCCGGATCGAGGTGTCCAGGGAGGAAATATTCGAAGTATGTCCGACTGTTTCAATTCTGCATGCATCAAGTTCATGTTATCTGACGCAGGGAGAGAGAGTGCCGGCCAAAGATTTTGGCTTTTCTTTAAATTTATTAGTTTAAATACCCAGGTAGAAGTTGTACATGAAACACAAATTTTGAATATAATTCTACAGTCTGCCAGTGAAGGTCTTTAAAAATTGTTTCGACGGGATCAAACTTTGAACCGCCAGCGACGATCTTGGCTGCTCTGTTCTGTGCCTATTCATTGATTGCAATACTGTGTAGGATTTGTTGCATTAGTTCAAGCGCCACTGGACGAATGCACGTATAAACGTCGTCTGTAGTTTTGTAGTTTGGCCCGGAAGTTAACATGAACAGAATATAATTTACGAAGATGATGTGAACACTTTGGTGATAGCATCAATCAGCGCGTCTCTGTGTGCTTTCTTGTGTCTCTGCATTTAATTCAACCAGATTGATGTTTTTACTTGATGGACTGATGAAGGCTGGCAGGATGAATGAATGAATGAAAGAATTGATGAATGATGAATAAATCAAATGAATTCAGCCAAATGAACGGAAATCATTCGTTTTTTATTTTCAAATTATTTTTCATTTCATAGTTGAACCTGGTTCTTTGAAAATTTGAAATCTAATATTTAATGTTTTGATTTTTTTTAAATGAAATAAATTTAACAAATGTTGAAATTTGCCAATAAATTTTTTAACATTCGCATTAAAACATTCACGACATCATTCACACGCACACTACATACACACACACACACACAAGCACATTGTATGCGCATGAATCTAATTTACAGTTACACAAATGCATCAAAATAAAATTCAGTTGAATTGGAATCTATATATAAACGCTCACATGCATGTACACACACACAACACACAAATGTATGTACGCGATTACATACACACACTCACAAATAAACGTATACACACACACACAAACAAACAAACATGCTCATGCCTAAAAAAACTTTTGCAGGAGTCATACAGAGCCATAATGAAAATGAGGTCGAAGGAGTTAAAGAAGAGGTTGATGGTGAAGTTTCGTGGAGAGGAAGGACTCGATTATGGTGGGATCGCCAGGTAGGTCTCTGGCGCCTGTGGTGATGATGTGTGGTGTTTGTGTCAGAGGAGATGGTGTGTAATAGATAAGAAGATTAGTGAATAGTTTTTTCATGTAATGATTGTATTTGTGGTCTTTCATAATTTTTTCAAGTTTTGCAGTATTATTTGCTCAATACGCTGGTTTATTTTAATAAATTGATTTTTAAAAAAGTTTATTTAAACAGTTTTTTCCTACCAAATAAATACATTATCAATGCAGTTTTTAAATGTTTGCCTGTCTAGCTGTCAGTACCTGCAACTTATTTAGCCTGTCATATCTATGCAGCATGATCATATGGATCACTCAGAATTTATCCATGTTATTGTTCAGCCGAATTATTTCATAGAGAAAATTTAATTAAAATGAAATTGAACACCCCTCACCAGAGAATGGTTGTACCTGCTGTCCCATGAAATGCTCAATCCATATTATGGACTCTTCCAATACTCAAGGGATGACATCTACACGCTACAAATCAATCCAGACTCTGGCATCAATCCTGTGAGTTTCAACGTTCACGCTATGTTGCTTCATGCGCTCGTCTGCTGTATTGCGTCAAATGTTGTTTTTGCTTTGCTCTACCTGAGATTTAAGATTCTGTTTGTTTTGTTAGCAGACATTTTAAGGAAGAAATTTGTTTTTTGTCTGCTTCATTCTCAACTTTACTTTGACGTGTTTATTTGTTGCTTGCTGCAAGTTATATTCATGACATTTATACATTTATACTTATAGTACATAAGTTCGCGTGTGTGCTTGTTTGTGTGTGTGTGTGCTTGTGTGTGTGTGTGTGCGTGCATCATGTCATTCCACCACCGTCTCAGGAGCACCTCTCCTACTTCCACTTTGTCGGTCGCATAATAGGGATGGCCATCTTCCACGGGCACTACCTCGACGGGGGGTTCACTCTGCCATTCTACAAGCAACTCCTGGGCAAGCAGATTTCCCTGGATGACCTGGAAGCTGTTGACCCTGACCTCTATCGCAGTCTCGTCTGGATACTGTGTGTTCTTTCTTTTTAGTTTTATTATTATTTATTTTTCCTCTCTGTTATGCTTTTGTGATTGATTGTTTGATTGGTTGATTGATTGATTGATTGATTGATTGATTGATTGATTGATTGATTGATTGATTGATTGATTGATTGTGTGATTACTGACTGACTGACTGATTGATCAATTGACAAATTGATTGGTTGTTTGTTACTGCTACTGATGTGTGTCTGTGGTTGGTTTAGTTGACGCGTGAGTATTTTGATGGGTAGTTGCACGGTTGCTTGCTTGTTTGTTATATTTCAAGAAGTTTCAAGAATGGATTCTAGCAGTTTTTATCTCATAAAAAGGCAATCAGTAACTTGTAAACACTGACTGATACACACACAGTCCAAGTTAAATTGCATTTGATAACATTCTGACACAGTGAGAACGATATAACGGGGGTGATTGACAACGTGTTCTGCGTGGACCACGAGGCATTCGGGGAGAGGAAGGAGCACGAGCTGAAGACTGGGGGTAGGGACGTCCCCGTCACGCAGGAGAACAAGAAGGAATATGTCAAGTTAGTGCGGCTGCATGGATGGTGTGTCGGGGTGGTTATGTGGTGACCTGGTTCGAACGCAGAGCAAGCCTTGATGTTTTCCGTCTCTACATACATATTTGTCATGTGTTTTTAAATTTCCTCTTACAAAAGTCAAACGTGAATAAATTATTAATAACAAAGTAATAAAAATAATTGGGATGGTGGTGATGATGATGTTTGATTAGTCACGTGCAGTCTGTTTTTGTCTACATGTGCATACGCAAGCATTGCATACGATACAACACATGCACAGTTAAGTGAGGTTGTTATTGGCTGGTATGCATTAAATTTGGTTCAATGCACATGCGCCCTTACTTTCATACATATAACTCATACATACATACATACGTACGTACGTACATACATACATACATACATACATACATACATACATACATACACTCACAAACATACATACATACTTACACACATACACACACATCAGGTTATACGTAAACTGGCGGTTCATGCGGGGTGTTGAGGCACAGTTTGCAGCTCTACAAAAAGGTCTCAATGAATTGGTGCCTCAGCAACTGCTGAAACCATTTGATGAGAGGGAGATTGAGGTCAGTATCTGTGTGTGTGTGTGTGTGTGTGAGTGTGTGAGTGAGTTTGTCATTAATGATGATAGTAAAGACGTAATGATGATGAGATGTGATGAGTTAGTCTAGTGGTGAGTTAGCATGCTGAGTTCATCTGATGTGAATGACGATTCATGGATTGCGACAGCTGATGATCGGTGGTCTGGGTAGGATTGATGTTGAAGACTGGAGGAAGAACACGAGGCTGAAGCACTGCACGTCATCGTCTGACGTGGTCGTCTGGTTCTGGAGGGCTGTCGAGGAGTACGATGAGGAGAGGAGGGCCAGGTGGGCTGGTTGAGGGGTTTTGGGGCTGATTGAGATTGATTGATTAGCTGGTTTGGTTGATTGGTTGGTTGATCAATTGATTAATTGGTTGGCTGATTGATTGTTTGATTGACTGGTTGATTGTTTGATGGAGTAATTGATTGAGTAATTAATTTATTAGTTAGACGATTGCATTTACTTGTTTGATTGCTCGGTTGATTGATCGGCTGTCGTGGTGATGTATGTGCGTGTGGTTGCGTTATACTTTTAATACTTCATCTCGTTATACGTAGGCTGTTGCAGTTCGTTACGGGCAGCTCGAGGGTACCTCTGCAGGGGTTCAAGGCTCTTCAAGGTCGTGGGGGGGTAGTGGTGGGGGTGGTCGTGTCTGGAATGTTGTTTTTGAAATGTTGTTATTTTTATTGGATTTTTCTCTTTTATGAGATGGAGTTTGCGCCAATGTAGTTGTGTTTTAAACTTGGAACATTAAGGCAGTGAATGACAACGTAAAAAAAATAACAGAGTAACAGCATAACAACAACATAACGACAACAACGACATAACAACAACATAACAACGACAACAGGTTCCACGGGTTCACAGGGTCCTCGTCTCTTCACCATCCATCAAATCGAAGCTTCAACTGACAACCTACCCAAGGCACACACCTGGTCTGTTTTGTTGCTGTTGTGTGGTTGTTTTTGTTGTCGTTGTGTTGTTTTTTGTTGTTGTGTTGTCTTCTTATTTGTGTTGTGTGGTTTTTGTTGCTGTGTGGCTGTGTTATTTTTGTGGCTCTGTTGTTTTTTTGGTTGCGCTGTTGTTTTTGTTGCTGTGTTCTTTTTGTTTTGTTGTTTGTGTTGTACACATACACCGTACACATATATACACACAAAACATACACGTACACACACGCATATATAAACATACACGTCTACACACACGCACGTCCACACACACGCACGTCCACACACACACACACACACACACGCACATGCAGCTTCAATCGCATTGACATACCGGCTTATGAGAGCTACGAGAAGTTCTTCGACAAGTTGACCTGCGCAGTCGAAGAAACGTGTGGATTCACAGTAGAATGATTGCTGTCATCATCGTCGTCGTCGTCGTCTTTATCATCGCCATTATTCTTACCACCATTATTCTTATCATCGCAATTGATATTCATCACACTATTGTTAGCGTTTTGTTAATCGCCAACGTCATCATTGTCACCGTCATAATCATCATCATCGTAATTCGTGTTCTTCCTGTCATTCATTGATGTCATCATCATCAGTATCGTCATCGTCATTAATCATACGATAATCAGCGCCATCTTGTGTGACTTCTTTTGTGTCGGACGTTATCATTGCCATCATATCAAGGTCTAAACGGGCTTCGTTGTGTTTTTACTACCAGCATCTCCATCGTCGTCATCGTCCTCATCATCGTCGTCATCATCGTTATAATTGTGGTCATCAGCGCTGTTCTTACCAGCGTCATCATCGTCGTCATCTTCGTCGTTGTTATCATCATTCCATAGCCACTGTCATCGTCATTCCGTAGCCACTATCGCCATCGTCTCATCGCTATTACGCGTCATCGTCGAAATTATTACGTCATCGCCTCGTCATCACTCTGTATTTAGTGGTAGTTAGTTACTCATCACTCAGGTGGCATTTATACTGGTGGGATGCTTTGCTTACGTCACGTCCGTCTTATCAACAATTCGTTTTGAATAATAATAATAATAACCTTAATAATAATAATTGTAATCGTAATAGTGTTGATAATAGTAATAATAATAAAAGTTATACTAATTCTAGATAGATAGTTTTACTGAACCATTGGAGCAGGCCACTCTAGAGCATCTGTCTCTTATTATTATTATTGTTATTATTATTATTGTAAGGAACCAAGCACAGACACATTGGATAAATATTAGCATGCATTATTATGATGAATTAGTTAGTATCAATGGCATGAGAGGCATTCATTCAGACATCCATGAATGTATCTGATTGCATTCATTCATTTGTTTGTACGTCGTTTTCACTTTTGAATAAACAAATGAATGGTGAGTGGATGGATGGATGGATGGATAGAGGATGAAAATGATGGTAATTCAAGTTTTTTTTGGTTTTGTACGTAGTTTGCGTTTCAATTTTTTTATTCAGAATTTTTTGCTATCCGTTATAATTTTGGGCTTTCCTTTTCAAATGTACAGTGAGGTTGTTTCGTCGGTAGAGTTTTACTCTGTGTGTGTGTGTGTGTGTGTGTGTGTGTGTGTGTGTGTGTCTTGTGTTTGTTCATGTGCGTCTAGATAATGTTTCTAATTTGTATTGTTGTGTTTGTGCATTACATAATGGTGTCCACGTGTATATATGTGTGTGTGTGTGTGTGTGTGTGTGTGTGTGTGTGTGTGTGTGTGTGTGTGTGTCGTTCACGATTAGTCCAACTTTAAGCAATTTTATGGGGATAATGTTGGCTGGCGTACACTTTGTGTGCTGTTATTGATATTGTGCCATTTATACATTTTGTGTTTTTTTGTATTTGTATGTTTCGTATGTGCTTTTTTGCATTTGTATGTTTTTCGTATGTTTTCTATGCTGTGGTTGATGTTAGGTTATATCATCAATTTTATGCTGCTTTAAGTTAGCATCTTCAGCATGACAGCACGTGTGTATTATGAGTGTGTATGTATGTATATATATATATATATATATATATTATTAAAAAACATTTATTAATGTTAATATGTGTGTGTGGGTGTGGGTGTGCAGTCGACAATTAATTCATTCATTTATAATCACTTTTATTTATATATGTACAACAGTACACACACACACACACACACACATATATATATATATATATATATATATATATATATATATATGTTATATATGTATCATATATACGTGTATGTGTATAATGTATATGTACTAACGATTTTGGCTTGATTATAAAGACAAATTTTTGCTTTAAATTTCAAAAACTAACGGTCTAAATAAATGGTTATAAAATCAAAACGGAGATATCTGAACATCATGCGTACATGAGTTCATGTATAATAATTTTCATTTCTATGTTCTTTTTTTCTTATTATTTGTATATTTATTTATTTGTCTTTGCAATTAAGTTTATGATTTGAATTCGAAGTCGTTTTTTGCAGATTATTGAAAGATTTAATTCAATGACAGTTCCATATTTAAAAATAAAATTTACAATTTTATACACATACATAGATACATACATATATATTATATAAATATATAGGGTGGTGCGTGTGTGTGTGGTGTGCTCGTGTGTGTGTGTTCGTGTGTACGTGTCAGGGAATGAATATAAAGCTATGTCGTTTCGGTATAAGAATGGAACCTGATTTAGCGCTAAGAAACAGCCAGACAAGAATTTGCTTTAAAAAAACTCCCGAATAGGCTTTCTTAACTAAATTGGAAATAGATATTTTTTAAACGTTCTTTCGTTCGTTCATTCGTTCGTTCGTTCTTTTATTCATTCATTCATCCATCTATTAGTTGATAAATTTGCATATGTAATATAATTCGACCACATTACGATTGGAATGATGTCCAGTAAGTTAAACTCTTTTAATAAGCTTCATATATGCTATATCAATTTAACTCTGTTAACCATTACATCGTCATCATTCACGTGCATTATTATTTTTATTTATTCATGAATTAATTCAGAATTCATTCATTCATTCAGTCACCTTCCACGAAACACTTGTATGTATTGGCGTGTGCTGAATTGTGAACACTGCAAGATATAATGTGTGCTTTAGATGTGTGTACTGTACAATTCACACATACATACACACACACACATACATGCATACATACAGTACATGTGTAGACATGTGTGTGTACAGTGTATTACGTACACACACGTATCTATAGACTAACAAATTGTGAAATGTAGCGTTTAATGGGTGGGCCAGTAATAAACGAACGAATGAATGAATAAATAGCATATCCATTATTATTTACGCTTTTTGTCGTGTTGGTGTTTTTGCTGTTGGTGGTGGTTGGTTGCAGTTTCGTCAAATAACATTGATGACGTCATCATTGTGACGATGACGTCACTATGGCGGTGACGAATATGGTGGATGTTGTAACGTGGGAGGATGTAGTAATGATGATGGCAGTGACGATACTTTTATTTTTCGTTATCAAGATCTATATCATTCATTATATCATTTGTGACGTCATACATTATGATATTATGTATGTATGTGTGTGTGTATGTATGTATGTGTATATTATCTTTTATAGCTCCGTTTACAGTTTTGCGTATCATATATTTATTTATTTTGTTTTTTTATTTATTATATTACATGAATGCACACACGCAAATCTTACGAAAATCACACATACACACGTAAATATATATGATGGTAATTCAAGTTTTTTGGGTTTTGTACTAAATCCGAATGTCAAATATTGGTCGAATATATATATACACCATTCATAGTGTGTGTTTGTGTGTGTGTGTGCGTGTGCGTGCGTGTACCATTCATTGCGGTTTATCATTTGTGTGGTACGATACAGATGATGGTACCGCGAATTGAATTTAATTCAATTTAAAATATCTGACGTCGTGGTGATAAAATCCGTGATAATTAATAAAATCATGATGACATTTATACGGCATTGCGATGATGATGCTGTCACAACGATGACGTCATCCAATGGCGGAGGTGTTGGCGAATCTGACGTGGGGGGGTTCAAAAAAACTGGAAATAGGACGGCGTTTCTATATTACAGAACTGTGTTTTAACACGATATAAAAAGTAAATAGACAATACGTGTTGGTTAAATTTTCAAAAAATTACTGCTAAATTGGCTGTTGACTTTTGATAACGGGCTGGGGGGTAATGGCCCAACCCGTTTTCCACCCTAAATTCGCCGCTGATGTCATCGTGTGAATCCTTCTTGTTTAAATACAATTTTTGTATATTTAAAAAATTGTCGTCTGGTCGGTAGTGGGTATATTGTAATGTGTCTGTTGTTTTATATTTATTTAGTTGTTTAAATTCTATTCATTGGTTGATATGTAGTTGAGTTGTTGTCGTTGTTTATTTAACGATGAATAATTACATATACGTTCGTTTCATGTTATTGATGTAGAGAGTTTTATTTTTATGATCAATTTAATGACGTTTAAAAGTAATTATATAGATGTTTAATCTAATGATGATGACGTGTCATGTTGAATGTCTGTGTGTGCATGTGTGCGTTTGAGTGTGTGTGTGTATGTGTTTGATTGTGTGTCTGTATTTGTATAGCTGTTTGATCATGATTGTTCATTCCTATTCATTTTTTATTCACTCCAATTTTACATTTGATCATAAATTTTTTATCTTATTTAATTTAATGTTTGAATAGTTTTTTTTACCTGTAAATTGATGCTACAATTGTTAAATATCTTGCAATCTACGAAAAAAAGTTTGTTCGTCCATTTGTCGTACTTCGTACGTTCGTTCGTCCGTGCGTTCGTTTGTTTGATTGTTCGCTTCTTTATCGTCCGTTAGCATGGTTTCAGTTTATCATGGTTTCAGTAATTAGCATTATTATCATTATTATCATCATATTCTTTTTTATTCACATACGATAGATTTTATTTCGTTTAACTCTTAGTTTATTCCAATATAAAAAAAACTCGTTTTCAATCTTTTTTGTACTGCGAGTTTATTTATGTGTATTTATTTATTTATCTATCTATCTATTTATACACTCATCCATACGTTTAATCAGTTTATTATTAATTTATTTATTTCATTTATTCAAAAGTGCTTGTTTAACTTTTGTTTACCTTCTAAAATAAACACCTTTTATGCTACTGACAGTTGCATGTTGGTACTGTCATCGTAGTTTTTTTGGTTAATGACGTAAGGTAGTTGACGATGGCTGGTTATGTTGCTGGCTTTGTGCGTCGTTGTGTTTATTTATGTTGTTGTTGGTGGTGTTGTTTCTGTTCGTTTGCGATGTCTTCTTATGAGAGTAGCGTAGGTGTTGTTTACGTTAGAGACGCACCGAATGGTGAGTTTGACCGAATAGTCGAATTATTGGTACGCTAT